AGCGATCGTCTTTCAAAATAATTCTTCGTAAAATCGATTATCAAATTTATTGAATTATTTTATTAATATTAAATATATTGATTAATTTTAATCTAAAAACTTTTAAATGTTTATTTATCGAAGAAGGGAATCTTTATGTGAATAAACTGTAATATGTTGGCACAGCATGTCTCTTGTCGACAGGTAGCCTTCTTAAATCAGGCACTGCTATGGCTCCGGTGTTTGTGCCGTTTACTTTGCGGCAAGCAATATTTAACAAATTGCTTTCGTTCCCCTTTGTCGGGTTTCTCATCGTCGTCGTCGGGCGCGTTTCCCCGTCGAGGATTTGCAGTTGCTCGCTTAGTGATCGCCTGCGAGGCTTCATTTGATGAATCGAGAGACAATAGGACGCTACGAAATGCTCGTCGATAAATACACGAGAAAATTGAACAGCTAAATCCCGTACCCGATGTTTCATCGACGGTACACACAATATCGGATTTCGTAATCAATGCTGTGTGTCATTAATGAAGATTTCACGCGTTAAGCGCATCATTGCAAATGGAAGCCGCATACGAAGAGTAAATGAGCATATTATTTAGATATAAATCAAGGTTTCAATTTTTGAATACTGCTGATTTGGCATGAAAAATGTACTACATATAAATAATTGAAATTTCCAATAATTATTAGCTTAATAATTAATTAATAGCCTTACATTAAATAATTTTGCAACTATTTACAAAATTTTATAACAAATAAAAAGAGAGATATAAAAATTGGCAGCCTCGCATTTATAAAAAAATAATATCTCGCATCTTTATTACAGAAATAAATATAGATTTAACGATCACTTTTTCTTATATTCCGATAAATTTATATTTTTCTGTTCTGAATACAATATTTAAAATTAATATTATTATAATATTTGAGAGAAAAATTTTATGAAAGACACAAGAAGATTATCCGTGGGGAGCTACGAATTTGTTTTTTTGACTATTAGTCACAAAACGTGTTTGTCCATTAAAGCGGATTTTCCGGCGGAAGTATTTGTGATAAATCCATTAACTTGCATATAATCACTTGCCAAATGTTTATACATCCTTTTTCTTTTGAGGATTTAAGAAGGATTTAAGAATTTTGACATTGTACTTTTGAAAGTTGGATAAGCAAACAGGCACGTTTTGCAACGATGACAAAGAAAGGTCTACTAAAATGCTGAGAACAATGGAAGAAAAAATTCAATCAACTGAACAAAAAAATCTGGACGTGCTTAAATAAGTGTGTGGTGTTTAATCCCAAATTTGTATTTTATGAGATGTGCTGACATGTCCTGTTTAATTGTTTTCAGTGTTTGTAACCAAAATATGCTTTAAAATTCTTCAGATTTTGCATTTCCTGAATGGTGCATACGTCAAAAATTGACGTTAAAAATAACAGGAAGTACCTAATGATTAAAAAAGCTAATACGTTTAAAATATAGAGTGAAGTTGCGTTGGGAATAAAAGTTTTGAATTTTTTTATCGCCAAGAATTGCCGGTGTGTAATAATATTTTCCAATGCTTCGAATATTTATGCATCGTAACGGCGTTAATATGTATCACCGCTAAACGTGCTCTAAATTTTTTTTAGATCGAGGCTATTCCTCATGTCACTACGAGTATGACATCGGATATCGCATTAGCGGGTGTTATCGCCGCCAGATACGTTTGCGTGTTGCAGCTATTGTTAGCTTCGGTATTAGTCAAACGCACTGTCATCAAGAGAAACTATATTTGAAATATTGCTATTCGCCTGTCATCCTTGTATGCTAATGTTTTGCATAGCAGTTCTTATCCCCGCGCATTCGAGCAGGCAGCTGACAAAGGCGTTTATCTGCCGCTGGACAGGCCGCGCTGCGCGACCGACCGGCGATCGCGGGCGCACTTAATGAGCGAGTGGAAATGATTTTACAGAAAACACGAAAGACTATCGGCGAATTTATATCGCCGCTTGTCAATCAACTGGAAGCTCGGTGCGCAGCATTGATTGTTTCTATCTTCAAAGTCGACTGATAGCGATATTTTTGCAGCAGCCCAAGATATTTAATACAAACGCAGCTGTTCGTATCGTTGCAGGTATTCAACTAAAACACGGTTACGTGAGGAAAATCGATGTAAGAGAATACAACGTTGCTGTTGTGTTGGAGAAGATGCGCGCGATTGCGTATTCATGTCAACATCAATAAAACTTTTCTCAATTATCAAGATACGTTTGTTTTGCGCTTCTTAATCTTTTTTAGCCTCTTAATTATCTCTGATAAGTTATTTTCTTTCCTCGTTAGGCGTCTCTCTCGACTTCAGTTAATAGCGCGTGCAATCACGGCGTGCAATAAATGCGAAGAATGCGCTTGTCTCTGCGCGAGCATGGAAACAATTTTTTTCGCAGCCGGTCAGCTCGCGTGCAACAAACGCTCGTCTTGTAGTTTGTGTACATTAACTAATGGCCGAGTCTGGCCGTTTGTTATCACGACAAATAGATTTCTCAGGCACTCTCCGCGCGTCGCCTAACGGCGCACAGATGCGCGCGGAATGTTTCTGTCAACTCGGGCATAGATTTTTCTCAACTGATTCACAAATACCACAGATGCACAAAAAAAGGAGAATCAATATCGAAACGATACTCGGCAAAAACTTAAGGAAACACAGCGGAAGAAGCGAAAAAGTAGAAATACATAAATAACATTATACATCGATAAAAAATACGAAAACTTAATTATCGAGAAAATTAAACATTAGATCAGAGGACTCGTAAAGGACGGAAGTTTTTCCTCAAATTGATTGTCGGGTGTTCGAAAGAGAATTAACCCCGCATTGAAAATGCTAAGAACAAATTGTGAAAATGCGGAAGAAATTAGAAGGGAAAACTGCGCGTTTACACGTGATTTTTCAATGACACAAAAGTCGAGTAATTGAAAATAATTCATTTGCGCAATGTAACATAATAAGCAAAGGAAGTTCAAGCGAAGGCGCCCATTAACGCGCAGTGGTTTTTATCTCGGAAAGAAAACGTGTACGTTCACGCGATTTTCAAGGGAGGCTGGTTAATTAGCAAAGGCCGTAATCGTGGGAACAGAAACTTTATTAAAGTTCAGTTGCATCGAGACAGTAACAGGCCGCCGGTGTATGCTTACGAGGTAACTGTTAAAAAATGGTCTTGCATTTCTCATCGGTGTGACATCGGTGACGCGATCATCGATGCCCGATCGCATCCGGACGTGTCTGAATTATATACGCAGGTACGTATACATCGATACATATACATACATACATACAAGAAGGGTGTTGCGGGTGGACCGGAAGGGGAAGTATTCGGGTTTGTACAGAATATATCTTCGTATTACCGTCTCTACGAACGTGGATTATACAGTGCGGGATGCGCTAATGTTAGACCTTAAACGACTTTTTATATTACACTTTGAACAAGCGGAGATCGCAATCAGTCTGACGTAATGCCCCGCGTACATCACTTTCCTGTGCGCCGCCGTCGCCGGCGCAACCGGGCCGCGTCCTCGTATTTACAAAAGGTTTCTCAAAATCGCCGGTGGAATCTCAGCGCTAATGCGAGCTGCTTATTTCGAAAATGGAGCAGGTTTTGAGAGATTTAACAATCGGCGGATTCAACAATCCGCCTCGTATATATAGCCATCTTAAAAAGATTCTTATAAATAAATAATTATTGATAATATCGCAAAAACATATAATTCATATATTATAAATAAATATATTACTAAATAAGTATCTTATATTAGTTTTAGACATTATCAAAACGCGCCGTGCCATTTTTTAAATAAATCGCGTCGAATTATCGATCATCGTACTCGTTGCAGATCATACGATCGAGGAAATTACACGCTGAGATTCTACCGTCGATCGTCGGTTTATATATAATCTTTTCTTAGACATTTATCTATATAATACACGTATAAGTTTTCCGCGTAGCCGGAGCAGGCGTTCGGAATTACCGAACTCGAATTATCAGACTCAAATGATTCTCCAACCTTCCTTGAGAAAGGTCGATCGTCTGTCGGCAGGAAGCTGGCCGTTATCCGCCTGAGAACTCGTTTGTTAATCCTTTGTTGAAAGAATGAGACAGAAGGTATCTAAGTGTCATATCTGAATATCACAAAAATTCACAATTTACATCACATCTGAAAAATATCTTTTACATGCAATATTTCTTATATTCTTTTATTTTTGAACGTTTAAATACTAAATATAAATTTTTAGATTATCGATTTTCTTCTCAATTCTTTTTCGTTAAAATTATATAAGATAAAAACAATAACAGAATATAAGAACAATAATGTATGATCGTAAATTTGTATCATCGATAGCAACATAAAAATATATCACAAGAAATGCCAGAAAATTTTTCCGTGATGTTACTAGAAACATAATCGATGATAGATTGATTTGTTGCTTGTGTGGCTCGACTAACATGTATTACTCGCAATTTTCCGCCTTGTCAAAAATTATCTACACGTATTTTTATTTTTCACGCGTAACACATTTATACCTAGACAATATAAATCTTTAAAAAATAATAAAAATGCTTGAAGAATATTTTTCAGATATTTTTAAAGTTTTGTGTAATTTCGGTGATTAGATACGTAGAGCGCTGAGAATGATATAGATCTTAGCACGCTTATAATAGGCGCACAATTGTAAATTAATATAAAAATATATAATATAAAATATATATACATAAAACAATAATAATAACTCAATGCTTTGCAATGAGATAATTCAATATATATACAAATTTTTCTTTTGTGCTTGGAATTTAAACATTGCATCGCATAAATCTATATCATTCTCAGACTCGTAAAATGTCTCATTTTCATCGCATTATTTTATAACGGCAGATTCTTTGATTAACTTAAAATCGAGGAAAATCAATTTATTAATTAAATATCAGTTTATAGCGACTTTTTAAAAAATATTATATATCTCCGCAATTATTCTTTCAAAGTTTGTCTAAAAATAATTAAAAATATATTTATTGTTATATTTTCCCTTTAAAAATATCTTCCATCGGAAAGCCATCATTTTTGATTGCTAATTATTCTAAAACTATAAACTATCGATATTTCTATTGAAAAATCGACTTGAAATTTGCCAAAGAATTCGTCATTAAAAACAATGCGTCCTCGTATACGTTCAGAGTTTCCCAAAGCGCGCGGAAAGAATAAGAAACGGAAGAAGATCGTGGACACTTGAGACACGAGCAACTACCTGTCGGCCGAACCGACCAGCTCCTTCTGAGCTCGCCATTAGACGCTGGACCCGCCGGCGGAGTTAGCCGGGATGTAGTAGTTTCTGACGTGTAGGTGATTGTGAAGGTGCACAGCCGACAGCTGCTGCTGTTGCTGTTGCTGCTGCTGGCCGCCGTTCTGTACGCCCTGATGATTCCAATGAGCTGCCGGAGACACGACTTTGGGCACATCCGGGCTGGTCGACGGCGGTGTGCCCGGCGACGGTAAAGCGTTCGCGTCGGCAACCACGTCGACGTCGACATCCTCGTCGTCCTGATCGGCCTCCGGAAGATCGTGCAGCTCGTCCTCGCTGCAGCTGAACTTGCGCAGCTTGGCCGGCCTCAGCACGTCCGCCTCGATCTGATGCTGCTGATCGTCCGGCGCCAGGAGAGACGCCACGTCGAACAGTCGTTTCCTCGACGGTTGGAAGGACGATTGTCGCACCGATTGCGTCTGGAGGATCTGCTGCTGCTGCTGCTGCTGCTGCTGATGCTGCTGCTGTTGTTGCTGATGGTGATGATGATGCGGCGTCCACAGCGCGGATATCGGCTGCGAGGCCACCGGGAGAGCCGTCGGAGGCGGCGGTGTGGCGGGCAGAGGCGGCGGGCTAGGACTGTCCGGTTCCTCGTCCACTGCGAGGCCCATGTGCCGGCGCACCTTGCGCTGGGCCTTGCGCCGGCGGAAATCGCCGCGCCGGAAGTCCTCGAGATTCGCCGGATGGATCGCCCAGTAATGGCCCTTGCCGTTGGCGCTTCGGCCGGACTTGACGAAGCAGTCGTTCAGCGAAAGATTGTGCCGGATAGAGTTGCGCCAGCCGGGCCCGCGAGTGCGGAAGTACGGGTAGTGCTCGAGAATGTGTTGATAGATGTCGGACAGCACAAGTTTCTTCTCGGGCGACGACAGGATCGCCATGGCGATCAGGCCGATGTAGCTGTGCTGCGGCTTCGGTTCTTCGGGTATCCGCTGATGATGCGGATGCAGCAACGCCATGGAGAGGGCCAGTCGGCCGGGATAACCGGCCGCGGCGGCGGCCGCCGCCGGGTAAATCGGCAACGGCGCCGGGAAGCCTGGTCCCATGCCGAGGTGAGCCGCTGTCGGCGCGCCCGACGGCGGATGAGCGACGCCGGGATGCTGCGGGTGCAACTGCTGCGCTAGACGCAGCCGCTCAGCCATCGCGTAGTGATACAATTGCAACCGATAGTGCTCGAGGCCCGGCAGGAAGCCGGCCATCGGATTGCCCAGGCCAACGGCCAGCGGTTCCTTCGCCGGCGGCGGACTCTCGTTGCTGCACATGATGATCAGCCCGATGCTGCACCGATCGTTCCGGCACCGATACCAGATCTCGCTTGAGCCTCCTCGCGCAGGAGGGTCACTCCGTCGCGTCGGCGACGCACGATTCTCCGCTTCCGACTACGTGGTCATGGAATCGGCGACGGCGGATCGGAGAACCGACATCGGGGAAACGAAAATCACTTTTTCGCGCACTGAAACTCGGACCACCTGTGCGTTACGCGCGGAGGAGTCGTGAATCGCCGCTCCGCAGGTGGCGACGTCGCGCCGCCGACACAATCGCGATAGTCCCTGTTTTCCAACAGTTTTCACCCTGTTTGTCGCGATGCGCTCCGAGCGGCCGACTGGTCATGATTTACGATCTCGGCGGTGCGCGACCGCCTCGCCGACGGTTTCTTTCGACCATTTCCCCACTTCGCGGACGCGGCCGCGACGCCGGCGACCCGCCCATCATGCAGAACGCTCGCGCGGGATTCGACGCGGAGGGGATAGCACGGGTGCTCGCACGTGTGTCCATGTGAGATCTGATACGGGAGTCGACGCGGAGAAGGGATCCCGTATACCGGCGCGACGGCCAATGAGAGAGCGGAGCGACGGAGGAAAATGGAACCCTCCACCGGCCGCCACACCCACAACGTTGCGATATTGATCCCGGCGAGCGTAATCTGGCCACCGAAGGCGGTAGTGGAGATGATGCGACGGGCCTGATGGTGTGGTGCGGCCGTCGCCGCTCTCTTATCTCTACGTGGCCTAACGTGGCTCGATATCATAGCCGATCCTGGAGCGGGGGAATCGAGAGACGATCGATGTGTGTTTCCCGTTTTCAGAGCGCGTGCTGCACCGCCGAGTTTCGGAAATGGCATCGCCTCGCTCGCTCTCTTTCTCTCTCTCTCTCTACATATATATCTCTCTCGTACTTTGTGCGTGTTATCACGGAGCTCGGCGGGAATCGAGGTAGTCTCTCAAGATTGGCTGGTTTTATCTATGATTCTGATAGTCGGATGCTGGATCGCACGAATTTTGATTTAAGGTAGAGATTTATGATTTATTTAGCTACTGTAGAATAGAGTGATATGTAGATACTTGAATCAAACACTGGAATGCATTATGACTTAACGTCTTTCGGCTTGTAATCAATAGCTTCGTTATTTTGTAATGTCACGTTTCATGCCTATAATTTTCCTTCTTTCCTCTTTCTCGATTCGAAAATACGAATAAACGTTTAATTTATTTTACATGACAAAAGTATGATTAAATAAAATGTTTCATATCTTTTGAAATATATTTATTATATTTATTCGTATTTTACCGATATTTTACATTGTATTTAATGTCTGATTTTCCCATCATTTTTTAATTGTTTCATATATGCATATCTCGATGATTTTTGTCTGCTTTTATTGAATTATTTTAATATCATTTTTTATTTAATATCATTTTTGACATTGTTATTTAAATATAATTTTTAAAATTGTTAAAAATTTATTCATAAAAGCCTGAAAATCTACACATTTGTTAGAAAACTAGCTAGAAAAAATATAGCTTTACTTGGATTGCTATTTTCAACATCTAACTTGTGCTGAATATGTACTGAAGGGTAAGTTATAATTTATCCGCAATGTAAGAATTATATTTTACTTGAAAAAATTGCGGATAATTTCCGACTCACCCTCGTACACTAAGTGCATTGAAAATTAAATAAATTAGCAATCTTTAATTTCCGAACCATGCCATTAATAAAACTAATATTGCGATAACAGCTGTACAAGCTTCACTTACAACTGACTAGTTTTTATCCTCAATTAGATCTTTCTTTAACCGATCGGATTCGGGATTGAGGCTCCGGACGAAGTCGATAGGACCGCGTCAAAAACGTTGGGAGACGAGGAGGTGAGAAAAACGAACAAGAGGGCACCCCTCCGTTCTTACATCCGCGGCCCTCTCTCGCTCCGCTCGTCAGAAAATCCTTTCGTCCCGTGTTGCACGATTCGCGGACAAAGGTGCGAGGAGCCCCCGGGTCGCCGGCGCGCATTTGTACGTAGTCGCCGCCCCGCAACTATTTGTAAGCATCCGCCATGCTGGTTTCATATCTGCCGTTTCGGCTTGCATAAAAACACTATTTTCAATCGGGCGAGAGGGGAGTCGACGCAGCAATATGGCGTTTACCCTAACCGGAGGTACTGGCGTGCGCGCGATCGGCTCGGGTTGCAATTGTTGCGACTCGTTGCAAATAACAGTCGCCCCCCCCCTCCTCCTCCCTCCTTCTCCTGCAGTTTCACAGGCTGTATCTGCCCCCACTAAACTACCCCCATCGCGGCTATTCGCGTCTTTGTTGCGTGCGCCCGAGCCTCTCATGCCGCAACGGAAATACAATGTTGACGTTGCGTATCGGCGCGGTGCGAATTCACGAATGCGAGTTGCAAACGCTCCACCGGTGGAGTTACACGCCACCCGATAGATCCCGTACGTGCGACGGCTGCAGATAGCGATATCGCGTTGTCTGCCAGCGAATGCTCGGCCTCGAGCCTGCATGCGTACAGATACAATGTGCTTTGGCTTTTGGGGAAATAATGTTTATTGTCGTGCAAACGCGATCGTATTTTGTCGGCAGTTATATCGCATTACGTTGATTATAAAGATTTTTAAATATTCTTCTTGAATTACAGCGAAGTGCATTTAGATGCTACAGCGATTGAGAAAAGAAATACCTACATAGAAAAAAAACTAAAATTTCACGCGACTATATTTGATTCGCGTACTAAAAGTTTTCCCTTTGTAACTTAAATTTACATATATGGGATTATTAACACGCGATGCAAAAAATATTATTAAGCTCCCATATGTATCAAAGGTGTGCTAATATAGTTCATTATTGCAATTTAATGCAATATTTAACGCAAAGGTTTTAATTGAGAAAAAATATTCTACGTATTATATGCGTTGCGTGTATAATTCTATTTGGCAAAAATAATACTAATGAAATTTCTCTTTCCCTTCAGGTCCGCACAACCGCACATATGCAAATAAATCTGACGAAGAACATATTGTGAACGTAAGTATGGCTCTTAGCGCCGCATTTAACGGCAAATTTGCGCGAATATCGCGTCGTGTAAAAAGATGCAATTTCCCCGGTATAATCCACTTTGCGCGCTTTTTCGCGCCGCGATGGGGTACCCATATCTACGTAGTCGAGGGCATCGCATTATCGGCAACAGTGAAAATCGCGCGTAGATAGGCGCGATAAAACGGGCACTTTCAAAGGAGGTTCTCCTCAAAATAACCAGAGAGACCGTATTTGCTTGCGCGAAACAGGATCTGGACGAACACGTAACTCTATATTTGGATCAGATACGATCATCGTGCTACAAAAAAGGAAACCGAAGAAGCCAAAGGGGGAGGCGACGAGTAAGATGCTCTCGGATTCGCGGGACAAACTCGAGCATCGATAAGATCAATCTCTCTCTCTCTCTCTCTCTCCAGGACGGCTACGAGGTGGTAGAAGCCGACGGATGGTTGCGCGAAACCAGAGCTCGCCGCCGCTGTCAAAACACAATAAAACGAGCGATCGAGGGAAGAATCGATGGACGATTTCGAGCGGCGGCCGCAACAACCCCCAGGTCACGTTTGTACATGTGCATGTGTACGTGTATGTGTGTGTGTGTGTGTGCGAAGATGCATCGATGGGTGTACAGATATATTGGGCCATTGTACGCGCGGCTTGCGCGTTAAAACGCGCTCTCTCCTCGCGCCCGAATAATGGCGATAATTGTGACGAAATGGAGCGTCATTGTGGGAAAAAAGGTACACCCCGGGACTCGCAATCGAGGGTGGTGGCGCGGGTAAGTGGCAGATGCATGGCGCTCCGTTGACAGCTTCTCCGATTTCCCTCCGCATCCTCTCTCGCCCAAGGACGTCCTCTTCGATTCTTTCTCCCTCTCACGCGTTATCCTGTCGGAAACTTGAACTAGCGAGCCTTTATCGCGCAATCCTTGAACGTTTCTTATTATCCGAGATATAGCGAATTTTTGTTACAAATCTTTGTGGGTCAAAAAAAATTTATTTTTAGCAAAGAGGAAAGAAATCTAAGGCGAATATATTATTTGGAACACGAATAATGAAGAAGATGAAAGATTTTATGCGAATAAAAATTTTTAACGAGCATTATAAACAAAGATTGAATTTTTTTTTATATATATTTTGTTAAGTTAACGCGCAAAGGCAATAAATAATTTGCAGTTACATTTACACATTTCTGTAACTTTTCTAGTTTTCTGCAAACTATAGAACAAAAAAAATACTATTCAATGTGCGACATAAAGCAAATATGTAAGATATTTCCCGCGTCGTACATTTTGTGTGAGATATTGCATAAAATCTAAAATTCATTGTCATTTATTTGTCTCTCATATTTTATGCGATACTCTTGCGGATCATCTCGAGGCAGATGATTTATTTTTCGCCTTGTACATCTGAGAAATGGAAACTACGCGAAAATTGGGTAACGCTAATCCCGGCCTGTCTAATTCGCCGTGTAATCCGGCGCCGCGGCGGAAACTCACGGCAGTTTCCTCGTTGGTAAAGTTAATAAATGTCGCGGTGAAACGACCGACAAGTTCGAAGCCCGTTCGGAGTTTCGCGTTGGCGCACGGCACGTGGTATCCGACGGTTTTGATGCTTCGGAATACACTGCTAATCGGTTTTCAAACTCCTCCTTGTGTATATATATATATACATATATATATATATATATATATATTTATATATATACATATATATATATAAATGCTGGCGACAGCTGATCGAACAAATCAGATCCCGATATTTCGCCGGAATTCCATCCAACGTACATGACACAAGTCTAAGTAAATAGATAAATTTATATTAATTTATTATTTTTCTAGAAAAGTGTTATATATTTCACGCGTGTGCACTGTTATATTATTAAACCATTAGATATTATCTTTAGACATGAATATCAATCTCGATACCCAACTCTCTCTCTCTTTTAACAAAAAAAATTGCCTTTTAATTCGTAAAATAAACTTTAGTAATATCGCGAAATATTTTCACATCTATCTCCACTCTCGCGTTACAAAAGTGTATTTAATATCTGAAACTTTCAGTGGGATGTATTATACGGCTGCAACAGGAAAATTAGCAAAACTCGCCTGGTCCGAATAAACCAAATAGAAGCGCGACGATTAGAATACATCGTCCGCGGGCGATGCCGCTCATCGCGTATGTAGAATTCGTACGATCGTTAACTATTCCTACGACCGAGCCGTTTAGCAAATAGCGCAAACTTGGCAAACACTTCCGGGGCT